TTTTTTTTTTTTTTTTTTTTTTTTCGTTTTTTTTAAAATGCTATGCAAGGAAGGCATTGTAAAAGTCATTCGTTAAGAAGAATCAGCCGAAGAATTTACATTTGGTATCATGGTCAAAACTATTATAGCTTTAAAAAATGCTATCTAAAGCTTACCAACGAAGAACCCTTGCAAAATAGCAGATATTCTGTTCTGGACATTTGAGGTCAAATTGAAGATAGAAATAATTTTCTTGTAAGCCCCTAGAGCAGTGGTGGCAAACCTACAGTATGCATGCCACGGCAGGCTGTTCGTATCATTGAAAGCTCTGAAAGGTTTGCCATCGCTGCAGAGGCAGGTCAGAAAAAGCAAATTTGAAGAGGAAAAGGAGAGAATGGAAATATAAGTCAATATTATGCAGATTTATGCCTTATTTTTTTAGCATTTTTTAAATGTTGGGTCGTTTAGGCTGATTTTGCTTTTTATTAGATATGTATAGTTTGATTAATTAACTAGTGATTTAGTTTTATATTTAAGCTACAATTAATCTTTTTTTGGTGATATTTATTTCTTTGCCATTTTTTAAAACTCATTTTAGATGTTTTTTGTTGACTATTTAGAGCATCATCACCATGGCAATATGTATTTCCCTTAAAACACTGCAAACAAATATATTAGGAGTGCACCCTTTTAATCTTTACTAGTTGTTGTGAGATTGCTGTGTAAGTTAATAAACACATTTGTAAATACATTGTTTGCAGGGATTAAAACTCTGAGTTACAGCTCAGAAAAAGCCTGCTGAGTTTATGTTGTAAGCATTACTTAACACAGTATAAAGATGAAAAGACAACAGAAATAACTTCATACTTCTTCATGTCCTCATTGCAACAGAACCCATAACTGGGAAAACCTTACTCCTCTCTCTTCTTCCTCCACTTCTCACTGTAGTCACCTTGTAATATTCAGAGAGCACTTGGATTATCTATCTGAAGAGAGAAATGCTTTCAGATAATCATTAGCCCACATACCTGTAACTTATACTTAAAGATGGGATGGAGTTGTAAAGTGCTTTTATAATATAATATTATTGTTAAAAGCAAGGATTGACTCTTATGTTTTATTTTGACATGGCATGTCCTAAAATAAATATTGATCCAATATGGCAGATTGCTCACATTCTTTATTTGGAAGGAGTTGTGATTTCTCAAAAGGAGGTAATTGTCTTCCCACACTGTTGTATTTGATTCTTTTTATGTATCTTTAAGAAAGTAACCAGTATGCTGCTTTTAATATTGGCCTTTTTATTTGGCTTGGGGTTCTTCAATTGAAGCAGTGAAGTGTGTTCATAGTCTAGGTTTTTTTTTTAAAGAAACACAGTTTTGCTGCCAAAAATACATAAATAAAGCACGAAAGAAAACAATCACTGACTTTGCCTCCCATTCCTGCCAAGGTGTTGAATTTAGCATATGCTTTTTCCTCCATTTGTAGAACTACAAAGGGAATGTGGAACTCAGAAAAATAACAAACATGAACAGGTGTTTAAAAACCCTGGGGAGTCAGATGACTCTTCTCACTTGTTCCGCAGAGTAGAAGAGTGGTTGAAACCTGAAGAACAGCCCTGGTAAAGTAATAGGATATTCAGTCATCAGTCATGCGCCACATAATGACATTTTTGTCGATGATAGACCATATTTATGATGGTGGTCCCATCTGATTGTAACAGCTAAAAAAATTCCTGTCAGCGATACCATGACATTGTAGCACAGCACATTCTCTGTGGTGATGTCGGTGTGAACAAACTTGCTAGGTTTCCAGTAATATAAAAAAGTACAGTGCAACTATGTACATGCATAGTACTTGATAAGTTAACTATGTTAATGATTTATTTACCATATTATTCTATTACTATTTTTGGAGTGTATCCCTACTTACTAAAAATAAAAATAAAAAGGTTACTGTAAAACTGACATGTCACTCCAGCAGCAGCCTCATACATCCCATGTTTATCGCATCTCTTGATTGTGTGTACTCTTGCGCTTGATTTAAGTTTGTTCCATTTTATTCATATGGCTCTAGGACAGTGGTGGCAAACGTATGCCATACATGCCACTAAAACCTCAGTATTGAGGTTTAATTGCAATGTTGGCACTTTGTGAAAATAAGTGGGTTTTGTATCGTAGTTTGGGCACTTGGTCTCTAAAAGGTTGAGCTTGCCTAGCATGCACAAAGCCTTGAGTTAGATCCCCAGTACTGTCAATTTTTTTTTTTTTTTAATTTGAAAAGAACCAAAAAGGAGGTTAATCGTTTAAGTAAAAACATCCAGTAGCAATTCCAGGAAGATTAAAAAATGGGAAGAATTAAAGTACTGGAGGCAAAAAGAATTTTGAACTGGCTGCTGATCCCTGCCTTCTGGAATGCATGCTCTTCTGTCATCCTCTTCCCTTGAGTATAGGCTGGATGTAGTGCCTTGCTCCTAAAGAATAGAACACAGCAAAAGTGAGATGTCACTTCAGCAGTTAGGTTCTGAAGGAGTGGCTTCTGTCTTCTTCCCATTGTATCTCTTTTACTTCTGTATTTAGCAACCTGCCGTGTGGTGAACTGCCTTTGTAGAGCCCCATGTAGCAAGGAGCTGAGGGGCATCCTTCATTCAGCAAGCAGCCAGTGAGGAACAAAAGTCCTTGGTAAAACATGGTGGCACACACCTGTACACATCTGTAATCGCAGCACTCAGAAGGCTGAGGCAGGAAGATCGCCGTGAATTCATAGGCTAGCCTGGATTACATAGTCAAGGCTGGCCTGAACTACATAGTGAGACCCTGTCTCAAAGAAAAGAGAAAAGCCATAAACTGAGAAAATACTTGATTAAGGGGCAAGATTTTAAAATATAGATAGAAAAGCAATCCAGTAAAAAGCAGGCATAATTCAGGTGTGGTGGTGCATACCTGTAATCCCATCTACTCAGGAGAGAAAAGTATCACAAGTGCTAGGCCAGCCTCTGCTTGGACAATTTTTTGTTTTGTTTTTTGGAAACAAGGTCCTACTGTGTAGTTCAGGCTGGCCTGGAACTTGCCACAATCCTCCTGTCTTAGCCTCCCAATTGCTGGGATTACGGGTGTGTGCCACCATGCCCAGCAGTCTGGGCAATTTAATGAGACCCTGTCTGAAAGTAAAATTTATAAAAGGGTTAAAGATGTATGTAGTTCAGTGGTAGAGTGTTGCTTTCCTAGTGTGTAATGTCCTGGGTTCAGTCCCCAGCAAAAGAGAAAAAAAAAGCCAGGCATGGTGGTGCATACCTGTAATCCCAGTACTGGGGAGACTGAGACAGGAGGATCATTACAAGTTTGAGACCAACCTGGACTACAAAGTGAGCTCAAGGCCAGCCTGAATTGCATAGTGAGACTCTGTCTCAAAAAGAAAAAAAAAAAAAAAAAGAAAAAGAAAAAGGGCAAAAGATTTTATAGACACTTCAGAAAAGAAAGGACATGAAAGAAATTGTTAGTCACTGGGGAAATGCAAATTAAAGCCACAATGAGGTACTACTGCACATGTTAGAAAAGCTAAAATTAAAATCACTAACCATACCATGTGTTGGTGAGAAGGGAAATAATAAATTCTTAAACACAGCTGATAACGAGATTTTGGGGAAACAGTATGGAAATTTCTAACAGTAAAATACCTACTTCTGTAATCCAGTCATTCCATAAAGAAAACACCCATAAGAAAAAAACGTGTCCATACAAAGACTTACACAGTGTACATAGCAGCTTTATTTGTATTTGCTTAGAACTGGAAAAAACCCAAATGAGTATTAAAAGCATATGCCTGTAATCCCAGTCCCCTGGAAGGCTGACCCAGAAGGATCTCAAATTCAAGCCCGCTCTGAACAATTTAGTGACTTTGCAAGACTCTCTCAAAACAAAAAACCAGCCGGGGATAGAGAGAAACACGGGATGTGCATGCTGTGGGACACCACTCAGCCATGAAGCAGTTGACACAACATCCGTAAATCTCAGATTCCTCAGTAAAAAAAAAAGTGGAGCACAAGAGTACATTTTTATGATTCTGCTTATATAAAATTCCAGCCTATGCAAACCCTGGTACAGATCATTGGTTGTCTGAGGAATCACGAAAAGTGGAAAAAAGTATTACATAAGGACCTATAGGGCTGAGCATAGCGGTGCACTAGTGTAATCCCCACATGGACCAGGCTGAGGAAGAGTGCAAGTTTGAGGTCAGCCTGGGCTCTGGTAAAATCCCATTTTAAAAAACTCAAGCAAACAAAGAGAAAAGCCATGGAGAAGCTTTTGGGTGTGATGGTTGTGTGTATTATCTGATTGTGAGTTTCACTGGTGTGTACATAACATCACAAGGTATCAAGTTACACTGCATTTGTGTATCCATCGTACTTCAGGAAAGCTGGTGAATAAACATTGCTTCAGCAAAGTGGCTCATAGAGGAGGGGAAATTGAGTAAAATTTTAATTGGTTTATCTTAAAGATGACCACGAATAAGAAATGAACACCTGGACAGTATTGATTACTGTATTTCAAGCACATTGTACATCTCTCCATTTATGTAGGTCTTTAAATTTTCCTACCAGTTTAATAATTTGGGGGAGATAGTAAAGATTGAACCCAGGGTTTTCTCATTGAGCTACATCCCTAGTGAATGCACCTGGCTTTTCACTTTAATATTTCTTGCTGTATCTACTGTATACATCTTTCAAAAATTTATTCCTAAATATTTTTTTGTTTCTTTTTATGATAGCAAATGAACTGATGTTTTGGGTTTTTTAAATTTCAATTTCCAATTGTTTCCAGTTTCCTGCAGATATAGACATTACAATTAATTAATTGCTATATACTGACTTGAACATGCTTTGCTCATTC